GATGTTTCTTCCAAAGTTTCAAGATTATAACATGTGCATGAACCCTTATTGAGGGTAAGCCAAGCTCAGCTTGCATCATAGCTGCTGGTGTCCCCTGTGGGAGCACCAAAATGCACCTCATAAAATTATTTTGGATTATTTCCATCTTGGTAAGGGTTTGATCTTGCCATCCCCATACTTCAACACCATAGAGTATGATGTGGCTTACGTATTAGTGTTCTGGTTTGTGTCCCAGACCCAGCATTAGGAAGCACATTTTTATAAGACTTTTAGGGAATATAGTTCTGAAGGTACCTGCTCAACCTGAAGATTTAGGGTCTTCGGGGTCTAAGAGCAGAAGTCCACAGTGCAATCCTAAACAGAGTTTTACCCTTCTAAGCCCACCCATTGGCTTAAATGGATTTAGAATGTGGTTAGGATTGCACTGCACTTTCTGAGCTGCAGTGGGAGTGCTAATGCTTTATATTGAATGATAGGTTCCATTAGTTCAAGCTGTGTTTGTGTTCTGCTTCTAGCCTGAGGATTGTTGTCAGATATCATTTAGGTCACTTAATGATTTTTATGCTGTTTTGATAACCATAGTGGGCTTTTGGCTTGTTTTAATCATTATTATTGTTGTTGTTATTTTTTAAATGTATTATATTACTTTTAACTATATATAGTGTAGTGAATGGTTAAAAGCCCTGAAGCTGGCAGTTGAACTAGTCCAGCCTCCAGAACTGTTTTTAAAGTGTCCCTCTAAATACTTATCTAAATTGTAATCACAGCAAAACACTTGCCTGCTATTTTCTTGTCTCAGAACAAGGATGATGTTAGAAATTCTTGACATGGTAGTGAGAAAGCTGCCTTCATTGTTCAAGTTAGTAGCAGATTTCCACAAAAATGGGCCTTTTTCACGCTCCCAGATGCTGTCTAGCCTGCTAATGAAACAGTCTGTAGGTTTCCCATAAGTAGAAGTTAGTGAATTCCATTTTGTGCAGGCGTGTTGAGTACCTGTATGGTGAGAACCTGACAAATGGTCTTGTGAAAGCAAATCCATTCTGCTATCTCTCGTTTTCCTAATACATAATGCTTCTGTGCCTGAAAAGCTCAGCAGTGGGCACAAGAGGAAGCCAAGCAGTGGGGCGCCAGTCAGGCTCTACGATTTCTGTGAAAGAATTTGTAGTGTTGGTGTGTAAAGAAAGCAAGAAGAATGAACGGGGGCCATTGGCTGTGGCAAGTCAATGGAACCGTCTTGTCTTCTCTCTTGTCTCTCTATAAATAAAGCATTGTTGTCCATCGTTGGCATTTGTGCTTCATTGTGATAAATTGGTCTTGATGTGTCTGACATTTTAACCGAGTTTGTTCAATGTTCTCTTTTGGGGAAGGCCGCCTCTCTGTATTTTGCATTGACATAAACTCTCCAGCCCTGACAGCAGTCACTATCGTGTATCAAGTTAACTGTGCATTTCTTCCCAGGCCAGTGAAGATCAGTATAAGAAAGGAAATATTTTGGGCACAAATAAAAAAGTTATGAAAGCAAGTAAGCAGAGGGTGGTCTTCACCTGTGATTGCATTCCATGGCTTGCTGTCATTAGGATTGCCTCAAAGATACAGACCAAAATATCCTTGGCCATTTTCCCCAGTATTATTTGCTTTGGTTTTGTTTGTGTATTTGCACAAGTTGGTCACTTTTCACACTGTAAAAGGGCTACGCATGAAAGTACAGATTGGATTAGCTTATGCTTAGCTGCCATTTCCACTCAATTCCCTGGCTAGAATTAATGAATGATAAGTGGAATCTACTACATGGATTTTTAAAATGTATCAGATTACTCTATTAATTAGATGATTAACCTCATGTCATATTCTCTCAATAAATAGGATCCTCCTTTCATTCCATTTTTGTTTTGTTTTTTAGATGCTACTTGTCCAGGTTAGGGTTCAAAATAATACTGAGACATACATCCGTCTTGTCAGTTTGCTGTGTTTCACTGTTTTTTTTCATATTCTCATTGTTTGTCATCGCCCCCCTTCTTTTCAAAAGCACAAATTCTCTGAGCCACTTCACCCTCAGGCCTTTCGGACAGTGAGAGAGAATTTTGTTACAGAAACAGAGAAGACCAATTCCTCAGAGTCTTGCCCTCAAATAAATACATTTTCATCTGAACAGCTGTTTTGTTTCTTGTCCATTCCTGCCAGATATTGTCATTTCTTGGTTCTTTTTTTTCTTTTTTGGCCAGAGTTGTAGGTTAAGAGTGCAAGTTTATAGAAATTAAACTGCTTACATGTAAAACTAGGTAAAGCTTCTATTGCCAGAGTGTATCCAAATATGATATTATGCCATGGTAATAAGGGGAAGCAAAAGTAAAATACCATTGCTGTGGCATTCTGATTATTTCAGCTCTGATGAGGCGAGCAGTTCAAGCATTCTTTGTATCTGGTGCTTGTCTCCCACACATGTTTTCTCCTACATAGGCAGTCTCAATAGGAAAAAAAACCCCAAACCAAAACAAAAGGATTGGCCTGGAAAGAAACTAGAGGTGTATACAGATACACCTCTAGATTTTTCCCAGGCGAGTCCTTTTTTGTTTATATATACGTGTATTAAGGAGCTGCGGTGGCTCAAGTGGTTAAGACGCTGAACTGCAGGCTGTGGAAGGTCGGTAGTTCAGCAGTTTGAGACCCAATTAGTGCCACATGACGGAGTGAGCTCCCGTCTCTAGTTCCAGCTCCTGCCAACCTAGCGGTTCGAAAACAAGAAATTGCAAGTAGATAAATAGGTACCACTTCTGTGGGAAGGTAACAGCGTTCCGTGCGCCTTGGTGTTTAGTCATGCCAGCCACATGACCACGGAAAGGTCTTCAGACAGCGCTGGCTCTTCGGCTTTGAAACAGAGATGAGCACCGCAACCCTGGAGTCGGATTCGACTGGCTTTCGAGCAAGGGAACCTTTACCTATATATACAGTAATATGTATTTACCAGGAAGTAAAATAAAAAGTAATTGAGATCTCAGGTGCCTACCACCCTATGTACTAATCCTACCACTGCTCAACAAAGATAGATGTCATATTTTACTCTTCACTGTTTGCCAGAGGTAAAGATCCAAAGAGTCCTATACATGACTAGGATGCAGGTTGGCTCCAGTGAGCAATTGGTGCACGGATCACAGATCTTTCTTGCATTCCCCTCCCCCAGCAGTCCTTCTGACCCCAAGAAAGTTGATTCCTGGGGTTGCAGAATCCTCATGCACTAACAGTCGTGTGAGTGAGGGGCTGCACTGAGGAGTGGGGAAGCACAAGGTCTAACAACACAAGGGGAATCAACTTTTCCTGGGGTTGGAAGGCCCTGCTGAGGTTGGGGAACACGGGAAAGTCTACAGTTGCCAGCACCTTCTGCTGACATATTGCTGGATGCAGCCCAGTGTTTCCACACATGCACTGGCGAGTTGAGAATATTTCTTCTGACTGCATTCCCTCACAGCATGCCATAGCCTGTCTGGAAGTTCCCTAACCTTCTGGAATAGCTGCAGTGTAAAGGGAATCTAGAAGAGCTCTGGTATATCCACAGTTCCTTGGATACAAATCTATGACTGTGATCCAAAGAGATGTATGCTTATTTAACCCAGAGAGGCGTTCTACTTAAGCATATGATTATTCAGAACTTGACCACTAGTAACCATTACAAAGTAAAATGTAGTACCTGTATTTGTTGAGAAGGAGTAGGATAACACATAGGGAAGAATGCACAATGTATGAATGTTGTAAAAGAGAACCACATACCAATTGTGATCAGCTTCATAGATTTCTCCGTCCTTGAGTTTTTGTTTTGTTTTGTTGAAATCTGTTTCACATTCCATTTCGTAATCTTTTTTCTCCAGTCACGAAAGTGGCCCAGTGTATTTCAATGTTGTAACTTCAAATATATATATTTTATATTCAAATAGCATGTGTAAATTTGAGTTTATTCTGGTGGCTTGGCTTGGAAGTTAACGTGCTTTTGTAAATGCAGTACTGGGCTTCAAATGTGCCAAATATAAAACAATAAACTCCCAAATGTTCCAGCTAAGTAATGTGCATAATATCTGGGAAATGAAGCAGCAATTAAAGTGTGCTATGGTGTTTTAATTGCACTTTGTTACTAAAGCTTTTGTTCTAACCTTTGTATGAAAAATTCCTGTTGCTATTGAACAGTGTTGGATTTGACCAATGAAAATGTATTATGGACAGGGAATAGAAAAGTATCTTGCTGGGGTGAGTTTCTTATTCTGGTTGCACTTTTGTCGGCAGAATGAATAGAGAATGGCTGTACAACTTTGATCTCTTAGGATATTGTCACCTATAAAATAGTAAACAATGTCCCTGGAGTACAGGAAGTTACCACTTACAGTTTGCTTTCTGTAAACAAAAAGCATCCAGCATACAAAACAACCCCAGAAATCTACACATTTTGCAATTGCGTACTTTTTCTCCCAAGATCATTTAACATTTTGGGGTACAAAAATACCCTATGAGTTTATTAAGAAAACATTGATCCAGGGAATCATTTTTATGTGCTTTGAAGAGATATGACAAGCTAATGATGCCTCCTGCTAACCTGTAACATATTCCCCACAAAGAGGTACGTTGGGATAGAAAAATTCCCCAATATACAAAAACATAAAATTATTAATTTTAGATGTTTTCCTTTAAAATTCTTGAAGGTTTGTGTTAGTTTTCTATATCTTTGTAAATGAATCACACTGCTGTCAGTTATTCAGCATACAAAAGGGGAGGGGTGAATCTATGCAAAAGAAAACTCTGCCTTGTGTCACAGTGTGTTTTCAAAGTATAGATGCCTTAGTTCTGTGAAAAACGATGTCTTCTGCCACAACAAACAACAGTTTTTAGCAAGAATTGTTCTACGCCAAGGAATTTGGCTTGGAGTAGAAATATACCTGAAATGCAATACATATAAGTTTTTTTGCAGGGTTGTTTAATGTCTGTTCCCCTTTTAAGTAACAGGTGTTTTATTTTTGTAGCCAGACAACTGTGCCCAGCCGAAAAAATCAGCTGTGGAGACTCCAGCAACAAATGCATCCCTTCTTCCTGGAGATGTGATGGGGAGAGAGACTGTGAGAATGGAAGTGATGAGGCTGGCTGCACCAGTGGTAAGTCTCAGTATTACCATTATTTAAACTTCTGTGACTCCAAACCGGTACTTATCTGACAGCAAAATGCTTTATCCCTCCTGTTTCTCTCATACACCTGCCTGCCTTCATCAGTACATGCGTAGTGCATTATACAGTGGAGCAGGTTCTTTATCTGCTAAAATCCAAAATAGTACAGAGGGGGAGTAGAGGATAATCTTGTACTGACGTTGATGCAGGGGGAGTCAGTGACTCTCAGTCTGCACTGGCCTCACACACGGGGGGACAGATTAGTAGGGAATGAGTATAAGCTGCAGACCCTTTTCTCTGTCATTGGGGTGTATGGGGTTGGATTCAGTGATGCTTGAGCAGGAAGGAATGTGTAGTTAGCACAGCCCTGTTTGTGCAAACAATAGAGAAAAAGATGCAGCCACATAGTGCCTTAATATAATTTTTCATGAAAAAGATGCAGCCACATAGTGCCTTAATATAATTTTTCATGAAATAACAATGTACACATGAAGTAATGCAATGTACAACACATGGTTCACATGATTTAATTTAACTGGGTTTTCAAATTATATCAGAAGAAATACATTTTGCTATGTCTTGTGCATGTGGGAAGGGTAGCAGGGATACAATCACTTAATGCTAGTAGACAGTAAGGAGTAAGGGCTAGACTACACAATAAGTTTGTTAGTCGGGGTTTCCTTGACCGAACTCACTTTCCCAGCAGCACCATGGTGAACTTACTTGCTCAAATGCCACAGGAAATCAATTCAGGTTAGGACTGCAGTGCAGTGCTGACTCCAGAGTCAGAATGTATAGTGCATAACAATAAATACATAACGGGGGGGGGACTTGTACCTTGGAAACACTAGGGAGAAAAGTAGGGTGAGCGATTACAAGAAAATGAGGTTGGGGTTGAGTCAGTGACTTGGAGCCCACAGTAAATCTCTGTTGATTCTCCCTTTCCAGTTCAGGTTTTAACTAGCTTGACATAAATAGTGAATGCCCTCTGTATTTTTGCTGATAAGATTTGTAATTCGCTCTGTACTTCCTAAATTTCATGGTCTCTTGGCCTTGCTGCTATTTTTTCAAACCTCCTATATCTAATGACGGCTTAGTGAGGATCCCGTCATTGCATCTGCAGAGTGAGCTGTTGTCCATGAAAGTTTGTTGGAATAAAATGTTGTTAATCTTTTAAGTGCCATGAGACTCCTGTTTATTTTATTTCTTTCGGGATGAAGACAATGTCTCAGCTGTTTAAAACTCAGAAGGTTTGCAGAGAATTGATGTCAATCCTTTCTGTTATCCAAATCTGATATAATCCCTCTAAGTTTATCTACTGATACTCGGTTCACATCCTATTTCTTCTCAGTTTAAAATCTTCTTCATCCTTCCTCTCTTATCTTTGTGTTATGCTTCTTCCCAACTTGGGCAGGAAAAAAGAATGTTACGGCTCCCTCTTGCTCCTTCCTGTGTCTGATTTCCCACCCTTCCTTTTATCTTACTCTCTAAAAGGTTCATTTGGAGTTATTACACTGATCTCTGGAAAAGTGAAGCCTTCCATCATATTAAAGCCTCCTGTCATGGGGGGATTACCCTCTGAGATTCTTTCTCCTCCTGCAGACTCCCAGTGCAGAATATTGCTGCCACTGTTTGTGTGTTGCTTGAGCTGGGCACCAGGGATAGATTGGGCGTCCTTCCGGTTTACCATCTACCTAGCTTGCTGCTGGATACCCTGTCTGCGCTGGTAGAGATAGTCTCTAGCTTGGGCTGGAGTCTCCCAGTTTGTTGGTGTTGGTGGATTTCAACGTCCACGTAGACACACAGCCACACTGACCCACGCTTCTGTAATCTTGAGGCTAGATTGCTGTATTACATGCTATATTTTCCCAACTTCCCAACAATAAAATATTTCATATATTTCAATTGTTCCCAAAATTTCAGTTGGGGAGCAAAAGAATCCCCCCCCCCCCCCCACCGGCTTCAAAATTTTTGGTAATTTTACATCTCTGACTACAACTCCTTGTGGAATGCCACCAGTTCAGAAACCCTGATTCTCCTGAGAAGCCAATGTTGGATAAGGCAATGGTCCATCTAGTCCAACACTCTGTCACACAGTGGCCAAAAATACCAGGTGGTGCCATCAGGAGGTCCAGCAGTGGGTCCAGGACACTGTTGCCCCCCACAAGCACCAAGACAGAGCATCACTTGTCCCAGACTGAGAGTTCCTGTCTATACCTTGTGGCTAATAGCCACTGATGGACTTCTGTTACATATCTCTCCTATATTATAAAAGAGTTTTGGGTGCCAGAATTCTAAAATGCACTCCTTTAGTGTTAGGCCGAAAAAACTGCCACTCGGAAGACACTGGCTGGGTTCATTGGCTGCTTTGTGCAGTCCCGCCCAGCGTTGCTCTTTTTCTGTGAAATGACCCCTGATCGAGGTTTATATGCTTACAGTATGCTAATGAGCTCCTAGGCTGTTAGCATAATAGCTCATTAGCATATGCCATGCCCCCTGACATCACCGGAAGTGATGTCAGAAGGGGAAGCAAAAAGGGGGGGATCCAAACAGAAATTAGTCACCCTTCCCAATTAATGCTTGTATTTTTTAAAAGATCATTTTTTTTACAATAATAAAAATGGGAGCTCAAGCGTCAGATCTGAGACCCAAGTTCACCCGGACCCACATAGCCGTGAAGAGTACTGAGCAACTTTGGGCCAGTCTCTATTCCTGAGCCTAGCCTACCTCACAGGGCTCTTGGGAGGGCCATACAGAGAAGAGAGAGAATCATGTACAGTGCTTTGAGTATCTTGGAGGGCAGATGGGATAAAATTTATCATAAAAACATACTAAATAAGTAAAATTAATAATATAATTATGCTCAGGGCCTCACCCTGTTATTCCAGAATACAAGCAAATAATATACTGCTCCACAAATCTACCAGTACAAATGCAAGAAATGCCTTTGCCTCCACAGAGGATCTGCCCATTAGCAGCCACTCATAACAGTTTTTGCACAGATTTGTTTACGTGCAAAGCAGTGCACATCAGTCTGCACCGGGGAAGGATGTCTGAATACATTATTCCTTGCTTTGTAGTGTGCTGTTGCAGCTTGCCCTGATTTGGGGCTCTGCAGCTTCTCTTCCCGTGAAAGTACCCTCTGTATGCTGAAGCTCATAAATCATTCCGTACTGGGCAGACATTGACTCCAGTTTCAACTTAAAGTTGGCCATTTGTGTAATCTTTTCTCCTTCTCCGAGTTCCCTGCTTACCTTTTGCAAAGGTCCATTTGGCCATTTTCTACAAATTGTGAGGCTAAGCACAGAACTACACATTACTTTGGCAAACAGATATTCCCAAGTACAAGAAAGATAATGTATTTGTAGGAGGAAATCAGTGGGCGATAAAAGGGAGTCACAAAAGAATGGTGAAATCCTTCCCATGCCCATGGGGAGGGCACTTGCAGGAGAGACCTGGAATGTGGCAAAAAGGGATAAACGCTCTTCTCTTGCATGCCCTTCTCCTCTGAAGCATCTCCCTCTAGTCCCACTTTAGTGTTACAAAACAAACAATGTTAGAAACACCATGTTTGCCTAATAATACACAGATGAACCACCAATCAGAAATCCAGCCACAGCTCATTATACAAATTCTGATGGCTTAAAAACCATTGATCTTTCCTGATCATGACGACCATCTTCATGATCAATGTCTCAGATGTCATCAGGCTGTTGGCCCTTTATCCCCCGGGTGAATACTGACCACCTAGTACCACATGGTAAGTTAGTAGTTGATAAGGTGTCTGCCTGTATTGTACTGAGCTGCACAGATAATTTCACCATTCTTTTATGACTGATTGGCAGTCTGTAGAGGAATATCAAAAACTCATTGGAAATCTGCAGAGGGATATTCAAAGCCTTGCTCTCACTTAGCAGGGCAATACAGTTGTCTGGCTCACTGAGTGGCTGCAGCATGTTGTGGTGGGTCTGTATTCATCCAGTGAAGGTGGGGAAAAGGCGTCTTGCTTCCTAGTGTCACAGTATAGTCTAGAAGCCTCTCTTTCTTTCTGAGTACCAGGTAATCTGATTTTAAGTGCTCCCATGAACCATCCGATCGTTAGCTTTAAGCAATAGTTACCAAAAGCACAATGCTTCCTGCTTAATTCTACTCCAGAGACAAAACCACCTGTAGCTCAGTGGTCTCACAGCTGAAATATCCATATTATTAATGTATGCATCTCTCTCTATTGATCTATGGAGTTAGGCATCCAAAGAGATGTTTTTATCTGGGAAAGCTGGAAAGCAGCATGGGTTTCTTCAAACAGAAACAGCTTTGGCTTGATCTTCCTAAACATATCTCTTACTAAATCTAGAAAGATAATTAATCAGAATCATCCTTCTCCAATGCATACACACACACAAACACACACACACACAGAGCTGTTGCAGCAGCTACTCATTCAGATCAGAGAAATATTGTACAGTCTTTTACATCATATACTTATTGCATAATTTTTAAAAGGGCCTTAAAGTGCAGCGAGTGGATGATTCCTCTGGGGGATTGTCCTGCTGTACCTATTGAAGGCAAAGATAAGTCAAAGTGCACCATTGCTTGGTGGTAGCCCAACCATGTACTTGTTATTCAGTGCAGTACATTCGTTCCCATGCACACTAGAATCCTTGCATCTTCCAAAGTATTTCTGTTCTTGCCTGAGGAAGAGAAAACTTCTTTCCCATGATCTTTTTTTCTCCCCTCTGGTAATGTGAGTTCCTTCTGCAGTAATCAAAAGACAGCAAACATGATCGTATGCTCTGTGATGGGTAGATGAAAGGAGGCCTACTTTCTCCCATGCTTGCTGTAAAAAAAGGTTGCCAATCCTATCATATTAATAGTGTAAGCAATGTTTTCTAGTCTTAAGGTCGCTCCATTGGGTGAAATTTCATATATTGAAACCATTTCCATGTCAGCAATTTCATGGATCCCGTATGTTGCTCATCATTTGGAATTAA